GGCGGCTTGTTTTACAACGTCGTTGCCAAGCGACGAAAACCCAACCCCGATGGCAAACACCGGGGGGGCGGCTTGTTTTACAACGTCGTTGCCAAGCGACGAAAACCCAACCCCGATGGCAAACACCGGGGAGGCGGTCTGTCGAGGGGGGGGGGGCAAATTTGGTCACGGGGCACGACATGTATCGCATGCATGGGACGGGGGCGGGGAGGGGGGGGTTGGCAAAGCTCGCTACCATGAACTATGCGTTACGTGCAGGTCCGAACAGCTGCACATGCCAGCCCAATGATGAACGACATTTGCACACGCCTTGCAATCACCTCACGAAGGACTAGGATTCAAGCGTAAATGTTTTATGTGTTATGCTGTTGACAGGCCGCCAACAAACATCCTAATCCCTGTGTTAGTAGTATGTCTTGCTCTGCACCCTCCCTCCCCCCTCCCACTTCCCGGTTGACAACACACGCCTCCGATCCTCACCTACTCAAGAGATCGAGGGGTCCTCTCCCGAGGCATGGCGGCGACGGAACATTTCTTCGCGAACGGCAGGAGGCGAAAAAACGGTCGTCAGGCCAAGGGTGACGAGTCCGATGCTCGAGGATCGAAGGGAGGCGGAGAGGGGCCGAGGCCGCCGGCGGCAGCGGTGGCGGCGGCGGCAGCAGCAGCAGCAGCAAAGCTGGAAGGTGAAGAACAGGAGAGGGAAGCGGAGGGGCTCCGTGTAGTGCCGCGGCACGTGGCATTCGTCATGGACGGCAACGGGCGATGGTGAGAGTACACAGAGAGAAAAGGGGAGGAACCAGGGGGAATATTGTACAAAGATGGGCAGATTGTAGCACGTAGAGATACAAGAGCTATCTCACAGCAAGTCGCGCCGTATTCGAACCGGTGCAATCCTCTCCATCTGTGCGTGGAGCGCATGCCGATAGTGGTCGACAGCGGCGGTTGCCTGACCATGCGAACCATATGTTTATAGGCGTAAGTCGATTGGCTGGCCGCCAACAGCCGAGCCATGCTGAAGGTGCTACAGTATAGGCATGGCCCCCCCGCTGCCACACGCCGGGCCCCTTTGTCCTTATTCCGTACATCCCCCGAAAAGGATATTCGGGCTATGCATAGCAGTAGCTCATTCCACCGGCCGTGCCCTGATTTTTTGGTACTCGTGAAAACAAACAATGTATGCATACGTGTGTTGTATGTATGCCACCCCAGTGAGGTGTACCGAGGATGAAATCACGGACACACTCCCGTGGTGAGTGCAATATGTTTCGATGAGACACCTGCTGTCGTGTATCAAGCGCACATCCGCGTGGACGGCAGTCAAACATTTCACAACAAAGGTCGGTCTGACCCCAGAAGCCGCAACCCCCCCCCCCCCCCC